AGGTGCCTGCCACCATCCCAGCTGATATTTGTATTTTTTAGTAGATTTAGGGTTTCACCATGTTTGTCAGACTGGTCTTGACCTCCTGACCTCAGGTGATCCACCTGTCTCAGCCTCCCAAAGTGTTGGGATTACAGGCATGAGCCACCGTGCCTGGTCTCCTTTAGTATTTCTTGCAACACAAATCTACCGGTTTTCATTGATAAAAAAAGTCTATTTAACTTTCATTTTTGAAGAATATTTTTGCTGGATATAGAATTCTGGCTTTACTTTTTTTTCCTTTATCACTTTAAGAATATTATTCTGTTGTATCCTGTCCTCCGTTGTTTCTGATGTCAAATAAGCCATCATTTGTGTCTTTGTTCCCTCTATATGAAGTGTTATTTTTGTCTGAATGCTTCAAAGATTTTTAAGTTATTTCTGTTCTCAGCAGTTTGAGTACAATGTGCCCTGATATAATTTTTTTTGTATTTCTCCATCTTGAATTTGCAAATTAATATTTTCCACCAAAATTGGGAGAAGTTCAGCTTTGATTTTTAAAAAATTTCTGCCATATTTTCTTTCTCCTATTCGTCTGAACTCTGTGCATGTGTTAGGCTATTTGGTTTTGGCAATGAGGTCACTGAAACTTTGTTCATTTTTTTCCATGATTTTTTCCTTTCTGTTCTTTAAGTTGTATAGTTTCTATTGCTCAGTATGCAAGTTTACTCTTTCTTCTGTGGTTTCCAGTCTCTTGTCAAGCCCATCCAATGAGTTTCCATTTCAGATATTCTTCTTTTCACCTCAAGAATTCCATTTGGTTCTTTTTTATAGTTTCCATCGCACTGCTGATATTTCTCCAGGCTAATATTTCTCAATATGGACATTTTCCCCTGAACTCGATGAATATATAATATGAATTATAATAGCTTCTTTAAAATCCTTGTCAGCGAATTCTAATATCTGGGTCATCTCAGGGTTTCTATTTATTGCTTATCCTCCTCATCATGGTCATATTTTCCTGTTTCTTTGCATGTCTGGTAATTATTTTATTGTATATAACAAAATGTGGATGATACACTATAGAGACAGAAGAATACTGATTTTGAATCTAGCAGGAAGTTGAATGAATGACTGATCTTCTTGTTCTTGTGAAGGCATCAGTTTATGCTTTTTCTGGACAAGTCTGTTTTGGTTATACTTGAGTCTTAGAGCAAATCCTTAGTCCTGAGACAGACTTTACACCTAAAGCATAACATTTTTAGATTTCACTGGATAAAAACAAGGTGTTTATCAAGTCCCTCTAAATTTGTGACATTCAAATTCCAACCTCTGTCTCTCATGTGACAAACGGCAGCTGAAATCTCTGTTCAACTTTTTGAGACTTCCAGCTGTTTCTTTCCACTAGGTTCCTTGGAATGTCTCATGAATATATACATTTCAGGGATCAAAGATTTGAGAGAAGTTTATATGCATATTTTGTATTTTTACATCGAAGTTTCTTCTTTTTGAGATTTCCACCCTCAATTTCCAGCCTCTGACTCCTTCTCCTTGACACTTCAAGCCAATATGAGCATGCATTTCTGTTTGAGTTCTAGTTACCTCCTGATGCATGAATTGTTAAATAACTACAGTGAAGGCTGGCATGGTGGCTCACACCCGTAATCCCAGCACTTTGGGAGGCCGAGGTAGGTGGATCACGAGGTCAGGAGATCAAGACCATCCTGGCGAACACGGTGAAACCCCGTCTCTACTACAAATACATAAAATTAGCCTGGTGTGGTGGTGAGCTCCTGTAGTCCCAGCTACTCAGAAGGCTGAGGCAGGAAAATGGTGTGAACCTAGGAGGCGGAGCTTGCAGTGAGCCGAGATCGTGCCATTGCACTCCAGCCTGGGCAACCAAGCAAGACTCCATCTCAATAATAATAATAATAACAACAACAACAACAACAACAACTACAGTAAAAAGTCAAGTGAGAGTAGATATCACGTAGTACTCTTCACTTCTTTTAAAGGTTGAATACCTTCCTTTGGTTTCTGCCTTTTTTGGTCATATTCCAGCATTTTTTCTTTAATACTTTATATTTTATCATTGCTCTCTATATAAGGGTTATTACGATACAAGCTACTCCACTATACTTGTAATTATACTTTCATCTTAATAACTTTTTCTGGGTTTTCTAAATGGGTTGGTGGGCAGGACCAATTATTAAGTCATATATTTTGGTCCTCAAAATATAGTAAACCCAGTAATATGCTTCCAAATCAAAATAGTCAAACTACAGAGATCTGTTTATTCATGACTTCAGACTCAGAATTTGGGCTGTTCAAATTCCAAGCTCAACATCCCAATACTGAATTGATTCTTCTGGCCATCTATATATAGTGACAAATGACAAATTCTATGTTAGTCTCCCCCACCCTTTTTTTCCTAACAATGTCTCTTGATTTCTTTACATTATTAGGACATCTTCACCTAAGTATTTCTCATAATTGAAGAAACATGGCATTTGGCTTTAATTTTCATGAAGTCCTCCTGGCCAGAATTGCCTGGGATTCTTCCATGACTTTTCCAAGTCTTGACTGAAAACTATGGCTGGAAAGGATAAATTGTAGATTCCAGGTGCTATTTGTCCTCTAATGAATGCTGATCCTGGAGCCAAAAGAAATACAATCCCCTGCTTGCTTTTGAGGGTATTTTTGGAGTAGTTGCAAACAGTGATATTTATCTGGAGACATGGCCCATATATGTGTGTGTGTGTGTGTGTGTGTGTATTTTTTAGGTAGTCAATAAATAAAATGTATTTATTAAAAATGTATTTTTGCATCATAAAAATAATACTGTGCTTACTTCATTCCATTTGTGTCAGCAAGAGTACTTGAATAGAAAATAAAAGCTTTCTCTTATCCCTCCCTGTCAGCAATAATAATTAAAGCCATACATTCTTAGCCAATAATTTTCTTATGCTGATATCATTATCTTTCTCCACAAATCCTATAAATTCTTCAAGATTCAGCCTTTATGCTACATTATCCAGATAGCCTTTTTGGTGAGGACACTGGACAGAATTTCAGTAAAGGGACATTATCTTGTTATCAAAGCAGTAGTAGTTAAGACAATAACCCTTGGAGTGAGACAGATACAACTTTAAGTCCAACATTTTCCACTTTCTGTGTAATCTTTGGATTTTCTACAATTTCATCTAAGTTATAGTAAAATAGAGATAAAAATAGTCCCTAACTCATTTGGTTGTTGTGAGGATCAGATATAATAAGGCATACAAAGTTTAAGAACAGTTCCTGGCACCTTGTTATCTTTATTGTTGTTATTGTTGCCATTGTTATTTTTTCCCCAGAGTAAATGACTAATAAACTATTGTCTAAATAAGTACTTGGTAATTGAATAAGTGCCATTATGGTAGAAGAGAAAAACAAATAAATTACAAAGACAAGTCATAAGGAAAAAAGCAATTTTAAGTTATCATAAGTGCTATTAAAAAAGAGCTAAGAAAAAGAATGAAATGGGAGGCCTGTTTTGGATAGGATCATCAGGGAAGGCCTCTCTAGGAAATGACATGTAAGGTGAGACTTAAAAGATGAAAAGGAGCTGGTCACACGAAGAGTATGGAGAACAGCATTTCAGGCAGAAGGACTAGCATATACAGAGACCCAGAGGCAGATACGCACATGGACCTGAAAGAATTGAAAGACCACTGGTGAGCTGGGACAGAATAAGGGCAGAGTGGCACCACATGAAATCAGAAAGTAGCAGAGGCCAAACACAAAAGGCCAGTGTGGAGAGTTTGGCTTTTGGTCCAAGTGCAAAGGAGAGACACTGTGGGTTTTCAAGCAAGAGAATGACACGATCCTCAGGCTTACTCAATCCATGACTCACAAAAACAAACTGAAGAAGAATAAGAGTTTCTGAAAACATTTGGAACTTGTTTTTTAGAGAAATTAAGAGTATAAATGTAGACTAAAATATTTCCCATTATGATTGAAGTTATTGATTGCCAGCAAACAAAAACACTTTAGGTGGGGAACTTTTCTTCAGAGAGAGAAGCAATCTTTAATAAAGATTTAATCCACTTCGTTTTCTTTCACATCTGTAATGAATCCACAGGGGACAGTGTGACCCACTTCAAACAGAGGATAGACAAAAGGAGAACACATGCTAGGCAGGAAGGGTTAGAGTAACTGAGAAAGAGGCCAAGGCCTATGTGGGCCCAGAGTAAAAGCACAGTCTGAGTTGAGAGCACCACATTAGACAAGAGATGATTTGGAGGATACTGTGAAATAGATTTCTCAGAGAAAAGAAGAACAGGATTCCAGTATACAATTAGTGAGACATTGACTGTTAAGGGTTGGACCTTCTGGTACAAATGCCCTAAGGGAATTTATAGAATATTTAAATTTATTTATCAGATAACTGTATTTTTCATTATCCTGCAGTAACAGGTCTTTTCCATTGTAAGATTCTTCCTGCAGTGTTGGAGTTCATTCCCTTTCTTGAAGCTGCTTCATCTTGATATTCTTTTTTTTTTTTTTTTTTTTTAAAAAAAAGCTGCTTCATTTTAGAGACTCACTTGGCAATAATTAAGACCACTGACATTAATAACAAAGTGTTTCTATTTCCCCATTATATATTGAGCAATTAAAATTATTTCCTGTCTTATACAAGGAAATTTATTCCCAAAGGAAAAGCCTATGGGAAAACAGTGGCATGTCCAGATCCCCATTACGTATTCACTGATAACAGATTATTTTAAAACGGTACATAATAGCTGAAATCTCCAAAATGAGTCAGTTGTTTTCTCAAATTTTTCTGAAAACAACCAAACAAAATTATAATACTACGAGACAACATGTGCCATAAAAACAACTTTGGAGTTACTTTTAAATTTTTTCCTGGAGGATGAAGGATAGCTTATTGAATGTCAGTTATGAAATTGGTGACAACTAATTATCTTTCATTTCACAGCAGCTGATAATAAGTAAGAGCAAAAATGGTGAATACCTACTGTTGCCAGGTAACTGCATCTACTGTACTTCCTGCCACCTTCATGAATCTGTAAGGAATAGAAAGAAAAAAGATATTACAACGTAGATCAAACCACATCCCCCAAATCAAAAGGAAATGAACTGAGACAGATTAGACCAATCCCTAAGCAGGTATGCTTTCTGGGAGGATCCTCCACAGCCACAGTCATGGCCTAGACACAGCTATCGGAGGTCGAACTATACAGAAAGTCAAAGTAACCATACTTCCAGCTCCCCACACATCCCTCACCATCTGGAAATCAAAATCCCAATAAGGCATTCTATCTACAACTGTCTTCCCAAGCCCATGCCTGATGGCTCCCACATCAATTTCCTCATAACCAAAACTTGTCTATCCCATTTCCTATTCTCTAAGGACTCCAATCTCTGATAGGAAACAAACAGTAATATTTCCCAAGGAAAACAGCACAAAAGATGCCTTTAAAAAACTTCAGGCTTTCCTAGAACGAGCATGAGAAAACCCAATTATTTATACAAGTAAAAAGCACCATCAAATATGCCCCAATGAGGGGCTGCCACACCTGTCTAAGTGTAGAAAGTTGAGCACCACAAAGAGAAATCTATCTACTTTTGGAGCAGCTAAGTAGTGAACTGAGTATTATCTGATAATCATGCTCAGCTCAAAAGGTAAACCAGACTTGGTTCCGTGCAGTTAAGCACACATCAAAGCCTTGCTAGCAGTTCCCCACCTTCTGTGTTTCTAGAGGTTCCAGGAAAATCAATAGAACATGAAGATGCATCTGGGGGCCCAAAGATGACACAGGGTCTCTCATAAATTGCATGTCTGTGAATAACTCAATTATCTACCTACCTCCTTCTCCCTATCCACATGTTCTCAGGCCATGTGCTATCATGGTTATAACCACGAGTTGATGGAGTCAACTTGTAGTTACCAAAAGGAATATCTCAGCTCTTTAAGATATTTCTTTTATTTGGAGACCCTGGTGGGGAACTTTTCTTCAGAGGGAGGAGCAATCTTTAATAGTACTTCTTAACTGAAGAATTCTTCCTCCAGGGAGAAAGATGGTGTTTTGTCTAGAAGGCCCTATCTCTACTTTACCCCAGCATAATATTGCAAGGCAGATGCATGTTGCTCATGCTCTGTGGGTTGCTGTGTGTGGCCTAAACAGAGGCTCTGATTTGCTGTGAGAGCAGAAGAGAATTGAGACTCTCTAGAGGAGTACATAACAGAAACATAGGGCTGGATGCCACGACTGTTGGTTAGCATGAAAGTGAAGTTTATAAAAGGAGAGGAAAAGAAGAAGGGGAAGGACACAATGAGTGTGAAAAGGGGGGAAGAAAAAGAGAAGGAAGAGGAGGAGGAGAAGGAGGACAAGGATGGAAGATGAGGAGAAGGTCACAGAAGCCATGGCTTAGCCTTTGTCTGAATGGTTTTGCCTTTCTTTCTCCAGTACCATTCAGCAGTCCTCAAGCAAGAAAGTAGAAAATGGCACATGGGAATGATCAAGGAATAGAACTGGTTTGATGAGCAGGGCCAAAATGTCAATGTGGGCTGGAGGTAATGTAACATTTACTGAGTACCTACTGAGTGCCAGCCATTCACATGTTATTTCTTATAATTCTTAAAAATGCCTGCTTGATAAGGTGGATATTGTCAATTCCATTATAGAGATTACCAGCTTCCCTACTGGCTACAGAAGTACATCTCCTAACACTCCAAATAGCCAATTTTTGATGGAGTCATGCCAACCCTCCTAGCAGCAGTCATTGGGAAGCATGGCACAGATATCCTCTGCTTTTGAAGCCAACGGATTTCTCTTTCTCTTTACCTCATCTCCTTTCCCCAGTCCAGGACAATCTCTTTTGAGTTTGGGAGAGTAGCTCTACTCTTTTCACTATTTCTGGACCTATGCCTCTAAAATTCCTCTTCTGGAATTCAAAAGCCAGAAAGATTTGTGCAGTGTTTGCCTTTCCTCCTGTCATGCGCTACCCTGTCAACAGGCACACGACCAGCTCTTGAATGGATAGAAGGAAAATGGGAAAATACAAGGAGAAAGAAAACAGATTAATATTCAAAATATTATCCCTGCCATATATGCTGCTCTAAGCAGGGAAGATCTGATAATAATCTTAGAAGTAGGATGGCCCAAGAATGAAGAGGAAGAGATGAAATTTTGTACCTCCTTCTCAGATATTCAAAAAATTAAAAAACCTAGATAATCTTAGACACAAGTGTCATTTCAAAGAAAGAAATGTAAAAACAAGAGTTTACGTGGAATTTACTCCTCCAAAATATTTTCTAAAATCTCTGAAATAGAAATATTTTATATAGGGATGTGGCCAAGATAGCCAACTAAAAGCAGAGGTGATCAGAGGCTCCCATCAAAAAAAAACCAAAAAAAACCCAAAAAAACAACAACAAAAAAACGATAACAGCGAGCCAATCCTGCACCAGCAACCAAGGTATTCAGGTTCTGTCATCAGAACTGACTAGGCAGTTGGCGTGACCCACAGAGAGGAAGGAAGAGCAGTGTGGTGCTGTAGCCCACTTGAGAGCCACACAGGGCAGGGGAGCCCCCATCCTGAGCCAGGAAAGGCAGTCAGTGAGGGTGCTACCCAGCCTGGGAAAACGTGCTTTTTTCATAGAACTGTGTAACCCACGGATTGGAAGATCCCACTTATGAGTCCACACTACTGGGGCGAGGGTCCCAACCATGGAGCTGCATAGATTCTCAACAGCCACTAAGCTAGTATCTGCTTAAGCCTGCTGAGCTCCCAGGAGGAGGGGTGACCAGCACCACAGCTGTAGCTCCCTGCTGTCTAAGCTGTTTGAGCTCCTTAGGGGAGGGGTGACAGCCAATTCTGGGACCCATAGCTGCCTAACACACTAAGCTCCCAGGGTTGGGGAAGGGCAGCAGCCATCTCTATAGCTCCAGGCTGTGCTTTTCCCCTGCTGGAGCCAGGGATGATGGACGGCTTAGTCTCAAGAGGTATCCACCACAGCCCAACACAGGGGCTGTGGCAGACTGCTGACGGAGTGCCTCTTCAGGCCTGACCTTGACTCATCCCTCCTCACTGTGTGGGGCCTCTCTGCA